TGATATAACCATGTGATGCAGTCATGTGATCTCTTTTTCTGCACTTATAACATCACTACTGCTATTTTTTGCTGTTCATTATCCTTGTTGTTATTCCTCTGTAGCTGTTGTAATATGGTGTAATGAGGTCTGGCCACAGAAATTAATAAGGTAATTGATGAAAATAGAGCTAAAAAGTCACAAAAGAAATAAAATAAAATAATATAGTATTGTTGATGGTCTGTGCACATTTCCTGATAAGAAATTATATCTAGAAAATTAGAAGAAAAAGAGAGAAATAATGGACTGTTGTTGACAATATTGGAATATTGTATACATGGTCTGTGCACATTTCCTAGAATGGTAATTAATACAAATATTACTAGAAAAATTGGAAAAAATATTCACATGATATAAATGGTTGTTGATAATGTTGATGCACTATTTACTTGGTCTGTGCATATTTCCAAATATGGTAATGAATAAAAATATAGGCAGAAAATGAGAAGAAAAAGACACAAAATAATAGACTATTGTTAACAATATTTAGATACTGTATACATGGTCTGTGAATATTTCCTAATATGGTAAATGATACAAATATAGCTAGAAAAACAGAAAAGAAAATAGAAAAAGAATAGACGTACCATCACAACTGAATGCAGAATGATACACCATGCAGATCAACACATACATAGGGCAGACTCTCAAATGTTACTGTGGTACTACAGTGACATCAATTCTGAGGTTGAAATTTGACTCATTGTGAGAACTTGGTGAGGACTCAGCAGCCTCAGCCATCACATCGCTTTGAAATTTTGACAGTCTGCCCTGTGCATGTGTTGGCAATCTGACAGTTCCTGAAGTCTCTCTAGTCTTCAGGAACATACTTCAGTGAAGAAATATGGCTTACACATCAGTAATAATTCAGTAAAGTAAGGCTAGTCTATTATAGATAGTTTTAATATACACTCAACATAAAAGCAGTCAGTAACAACCTTTATTATCTGATAGAGCAGAATTTAGAGGCTATAACTATATAACAAATAGCTTATTACCAATAGATAGAGCTGAATGCAATATATAATCTGGTTTTTCTATAATAAAAATACAATATAAAATAAAAGGGCAAGTTTAGGACCAAAATGATCTTTATCATAAATTTTGTAGAAAAGTTGAATCCAGAAGATAAAAGTTTGAATGGTCAGAAATTTTTGAAGTTTTTTTTTTGAAACTAGGACCCCAGATACTCCATGACACTGGCAGGAAATTTTAGCCTATGTGACATAGC